ACTCCGTAGGAATCTCACGAAGTCCCATCAGTCTCAACGAGTCCCACGACCGCCAAGGCGAGTGAGACCCGTAGGACTTCGTAGGACGGATGAGACGCCCCAGGTATATAAGCAAGTAGGAACACGACTCTTATAGTTCGTGTTCAACCTAGTCAATCAAGTTTGTCTTTGGAATCTCAACCTGCCTTCGATACAGATAGTACCCTCTATACTCTTCAAGTGCAACCCCCTATCAACACGAGCTTTGCTTAGTTGATAACCCTACCGATCCAGAGCCGGCACTCATCCCCGAGAACCAATAGAATCAGTGCTTACGGTCTTTGACTAAAGTACGACTTCAACAGCAGCATAGTATTTCAAGTTTTAGACAATTCTATTATCTGGTTGTAGAGTTATTAAGGTGCAAAAATCTTAATTTTTGGTGTAAAATTGAGTGACCGTGTTACGATCTTCGAAGGAACAGGCGCTGATAGGAAGCGGGGCAAGCTGCGGACGACAGCGCGACGGATGACAGCGTGTCACGGGTCACGTGACATGCAACCATCACGCCAAGCGTCACCATCCCGGATGACCAAACATCCCAAGCTGGGCAGGATGGCACAACAACGAAGGATGGCAGTGCATATTTCTTACGTATATAAACAGTAGGAACACAACTCTTACAGTTCGTGTTCAACCTCGTCAATCAAGTTTGTCTTTGGAATCTCAACCTGCCCTCGAGCCAGATAGTACCCTCTATACTACTCAGTGCAACCCCTATCATCACGAGCTTTGCTTAGGTGATAACCCTACCGATCCAGATACCTTACTCATCCCCGAGAACCAATAGAATTAGTGCTTACGGTCTTTGACTAAAGTACGACTTCAACAGACCGGCTCGCTTGGGTGACCGGCTCGCTTGTGGAGTACGTTACTTGTCTTATATCTTACATTCTATGTATCCCTTCTATCCTATCCTATCCTATTCCTTCTATCCTAACCTCTCTATCCTAACCTCTCTATCCCTTCTATCCCCTCTATTCTATCCCTTCTATCCCCTCTATTCTATCCCTTCTATCCCCTCTATCCCATTCCCAACACAACGCAGCAACCAAGTCTAGTACACTGCTCTCTCTTCTCTCTTTCTTCTCCTTACCTCCTCCTGGTACGTCCGGTACCGCCAAGCACCGCCAGCGCGACACACATTGCAACGCGAAGCACAACTAGAGCAAAGCAAAGCAAAGCAGAGCAAAGCAAGCAAAACCAGAGCAAAGCAAAGCACCGCCAGAGCACACTCAAAGCAAGCGCTACGAGTCCAAAGCACCGCCAAACTAACGCGAATAAAACGCAAAAGCACTTCCAAAGCTCAAGGAATGCGCAAACAAAACAGATTGGGGCAAAGCAGAGCAAAGTGCTACGAGTCTAAAGCACCGCCAAAGCACCGCCAAAGCAACGCGAATAAAATGCAAAAGTACTGCCAAACCCAAAGGAATGCGAAAACAAAGCAGATTAGAGGAAAGCAGAGCAACGCCGAAGAGCACAGTCAAAGCATTACCAGAGCAACGCCAAAGCAAAGCACCGCCGGAGCACACTCAAAGCAAAGCGCTACGAGTACAGAGTAAAGCTAAAGCTGTCAGTATACACACACCCCACTTCCCGAGGCTGCCCAATGTGCCGCCTCGATCCTACTTCGGTCCGACTCGCACCAAGCTCAGGTATACTATGGTATCATGCGTAAGTTTTGTGAGTGGGGCGGCATGGTGGAGATGTTCGGCTGTATTATTCGGGGTGGCCAAATCTTGGCTTTGTCATACTTTACATACAATCTTAGTACTTTGTGTGACCACCTTGAGCGTCAATGACTGCCTGGCAACGAGCTGGCATAGTCTCAATGAGGCCCTGAAGAAACTCAGGGGTAATTGAGTCCCATGCCTCTTGTATAACCCCCCTGAGTTGATCGTACGTGTACTGCCTCCCTCTAGGCAGGTCAGGATAGTGATTCTCAATATAGTCTTTCATCTCATCCCAGACTGGCTCAATTGGACTGAGGTCTGGTGAAAATGGAGGCCAGTATATAGGCGTTATCCCTCTTTCTTGTAGCTCAGAAAGGGTCAGCCTTGCAGAATGACCTGGGGCTGAATCCTGCATAAACTCAAGGTCTGGATTAAGGCGTAGCCACCCATGAATAAGTGGTACAATCCTTTCACAGTACCTCTCTTTGTTGATAGTCTTCCACTCTTTCTCCCAAAAAAGGGAGGGACCTTTTGTAGTACCAGAAAAGCAGGCCCAGAACATCCAGCCACGCTTTCTTGGTACCTTGTCAACAGTACAGGTAGGATCTAACTCCTCTCCAGTCTTCCTTGTTACCCATACTCGACGGTGCCGCCCTCCAGTTACCCACGTCTCGTCACTCCAGAGGATCCTCCACCACTGCCAAGGCTCCCAGTTGACATGCTCACGAGCCCAGGCAAGGCGCAAGTCCTTATGGAGTTGGGTGAGAGGTGACTTGGCTCGGGCAATGCGGCGTGTGTATCCTCTAGCAGTCAAGGCACGGCGTATCACGTACTCTGACACCCCCCATGCGTCAAAGGGACCGTACGCAAGTTGATGCCAGCTCATCTGACGTGTACGTCGTGATGATCGGACGTACGCCTCAAGCTCGTCTACTTGGGCATCTGTAAGGATACGTGGGCGACCACTACGTCGTTTTGGAGTGACAGAAACACTAGTAGCTGCCCACTCAACTTGTCGCTCGGTGACGTGGAGGAGGTTGGCGATATATCTGTACGTATGACCAGCTAGCCGTAGAGTCTGTACCTGCAGGCGCTGGTCCCGTGGTAAATGCTGACTATGGGGTGGTGTTGATGGACAAGGAGTAGCCATTTTAGGACGGTTGATCGATGGGATACATGAGATGGATAGGATAGATGAGATGGATGAAATGGACGAGTAGTAGACATTCTGGGGGCACACAGATGCTTCTCGAAACAGGTTAACATTGTATTGTATACAGAATTAGGTAGAATTTGATGTAATTTGGACGATAGAGAGGTTCCGCATCATCCGCCAAGCACCCCCACCGTGCATCTCCACTCACAAAACTTACGCATGATACCATAGTACCTTCGTAGTACCCACGTTCATAGAGAAATCATACCAATACGAATACCAAGACACAAGGAGAACCCCGTTATTGTTATCACCCCGTACGATCGTACAAAGGCCTACCAACAAAAGCAAAGCAAAGCCAAAGTACCCCTAAAGCACCGCACTCACTTCTTGCAATGCTAAAACAATACTAGAGCAAGCGCAAGGTACTGTATTCGCATACCGCACTTACATACAATCGGGTGCCAAAAGTCTGTTCGCGTTGACGCATGGACCACCACAACCACATTTGATTACCAACTTCAAAGCAGTATAACTCTCTACTACATAGACCAAATAAGACAATTAGGGTTGCAAATTAATCGCATTACGCTTAGTATCTAGTCTGGTAGCCCTTTGCACGTCGCACAGCGTCTAGGCGTCGTGGCATAGACCTAATAAGGCGTTTGATCAGTGCGTCAGGTATAGCAGCCCATGCCTCAATCAACCCCAATTCGAACGCCTCCCACTCAGCTAGAGAGTCTCCCATATAGTCAAATTCAGGATGCAGCTCATGGAGCTTCTTTTTAAGTGCCTACCACATGTGTTCAATAGGGTTAAGGTCAGGTGAGTATGGTGGCCATTTGATCGTAGCAACACCATGAACCTCTAGCCACTCCTTCGAGACCTGGGAAGTGTGGATAGGTGCGTTATCCTGCATAAACCACTCGCCTGGCCTGTAGCTGTCCTGGAGACCTTCCTCAAGTGCTCGTATGTAGCTCTGAGCTGTGTATCCATTGCGTTTGGCTGATGTGTCGCGATTCATAATTACTAGACGACTACGCCTTGCTCGGCCACCTGGAGTCATCCATATTGAGCCCCATACCATACGAGCAGGTTGGCGAGCAGTGGTGACCTCCTCAACCATCTCGTGCGACCATTTATCCTCAGGTAGTCGCCATACCCAGGGCGTGTTGTGGCCAGATCCACGAGCAACGCTGCACTCGTCACTGAACCTGATAGTACGCCTCCCAAAATCAAACCCCAGCCATTCATTAGTAAGATTGAGGCGTTCCGCAGCTGTGTTCTTGTTGATTTTTGGCCTACGTCTCGCTCTGAACTTGCGGTATCCCTCGTCAGTCATTGCGCGCTGCACAGTACGCTTAGAAACGCTGGGGTAGGTAGTATTGGCGTCCCACAGTCCAGCCTCCTCCATAAGCTTGTGGTACTCAATACCTGGGTTTTTCCGAGCAATCCGTAGCAGCCGGCGATGGTCTCTACTAGTCAATGTAGGTGGCCGGCCTGTCCGAGGCTGCGTTGTGGTGCTGCAGCTGGTTGTCCATCGGAGTACTGTTTTCTGTACGCACCGCTGCGAGCAGTCCAGCGCGTCAGCAACTTCGCTTGTCGACACACCAGCCTCAACCTGGGCTAAGCAGTATATCCGTTGGGCTTCTGATAATTCACCTCCGCGCACTCGATTTGATGAAATTTTAGTGCTAAAAGCTCTCATATTGATGTAGTCGTGTGTAGTTGAAGAAGATACCCCTCTTTAGAGTTCGCGTTGTTGAAATGGTCTGTGCACACGCGCGAACAGACTAAAGTCCTAGTACAGTATTGTGCTTACAGACTATATTACTAAAGCAATACTGAACACCCCGGCCTGCACTGTAGGGTATACTTGAAGTTTGTAATTGTATTGTATATTTTGTTACTTCCTGTTCATCTCTAACCCTCCCTCCTTCCTTCCCTTCCCTTCCTTCCCTTCTTCTACACCCCGCGCACCACCCCTGCACCCCCGCCCACCCCGCCCACGCAAACCCAACAAACCTCAAACCCAACCTCAAACCCAACCTCAACCCCAACCCCAACCCACCCTCAAACCCACCTCTACCACCCCCCACAAAAAGCTACATTAAAACTCCAAAAAAGCAAAATGACACGAGTGGGGTTCGAACCCACGCACATTTCTGTAGTAGAGATTTTCGGGACTTAAATCTACCGCCTTAGACCACTCGGCCATCGTGTCGGGGCTTTTAAGGAAGTTTCGAGGGGTAGATGGATTATGATGAGAGTTGTTGGGGGCTAGCCGGGGTAGGGATGGGAAGGAAGGGAGGAGGAAAGGGGGAAGGTGGGGTGGGGTAGATGGGTGGGGCGGGGCGGGGCGGAGCGAAGGCTGAGTTTACAAGGGGTGCTGGTACCATTACAGCAGCGTTGCATAGCTAGTGTCTGCAGCATAGATTAGGTGTGTATACTACGTGTAACTCTGCTTAATTCACTTTGCACACGTCTCTATTCTTTATTGTTTACAACTCGCGGCGATTGGTCTTGCGGTTCTGTTACGGGCTTGACACGGCGTGCTCAACACACCGAGCTGAGTCCTGGACCTGCATCATACGGCGGCCTTCCCATAGCAGGTATTCGCAGTACAGATAAGGATTGTATACATGGAAATCTCTACTAAGCTTATCTCTACTAAGATTGTTCCTGCTTTATACTTCGTCGTCTACATTCCTCTATTCCTCTATGCCCCGTCCCCCGATCTTTCTACCTAGGTATTCTCCATTCTCCATCCCCTCATCCCTCACCCTCTTTGACCCCCCTCCCCCTTCCGAATCCAAAACTTCTCATCAGACCAACATCCTCCCCCACCCATATTATATCGCCAACCCCATCCCGACTCGGTACAAACCGCCTCTGCGCCGCTCCATACATGACCAACAACCCCCCAGCACCCTTCCAAGATTGAATGCAGAGCGCGAGGCGAGGATACGTACTTACATCGTCGGACACGCATAGCGCGGGCTCGGCCGAGGCGGTGGTGTGGGAGAGTTGCGCCAGCGGGTCTGGGAGTGGGGGAGGGTGGACGGGGTAAGAGGATGAGAAGCGTCGAAATGGCGCCTTTGCTTGGGGCGCTGTAGAGGGGGCGGGATTTTGGGAGGGGAGGGGGTGGGGGTTTACGTATGTTGGTCAGAGTTGTCAACAAACAAAATTGATCGACAAATTGATTCGTGAACGAACCAACAGTGGGGACGTGTCAAGCTTCACGGTTCGTATTATTGAACGTGCATTCCCAGAAAGGAATCAATCAGTCGATCAATTTTGTTTGTTGACAACTCTGATGTTGGATGAGGTGGGGTGAGGGAATGGAGTGAGTTGCCACGGTGGAAGGAGTATGGGTATATTGATAGATTGTATGGGTCCAAGGTTAGTTGTGAAGACGGATATGATCAATATATCGTCGTAAGCACGTGCAGGGACTCAGTGTTGGAGCTGCGCTTGCACTATGCTAACAAAGTAACAGTAAATGCACAGAGGATGATTACGAGTTTTTGTGAAGTAAGTTGCTAAGGTGTATATTTTAGATAGCTCGAGATGATGAATGATTGTAGATGTCAGCCGTGAAGATGGATATAATCGACAGCATTTCATTGTAAGCAAGCACGGGTTTCAATGTTTCAGCAGTGTGTTTGTGTTATAACAACAGAGACATTAGTGAGGGCTGGTGGGTATGGATCATCCGTCCGTCGACCAGCGTTCGCTCTGCCTCTACGGTGATGTCTAGTCTCGTGGGCGGTTTCCGAAGTTCAGTGTTTGGCTGCCATGGGAAGCTTTGGAGGTGGTGCTTTGAGATAGCTTGGACTCGCGTGGCTGGGGAATAAAGGGTTGGGTCGTATTTTTGTGTTTGTTGCTTTGCTTGGATTTTGGAGTGAAGTGTGGAGGTATCTGTAGATTAGAGGGAGCTTTCTCGTGGTTTGTAAAGCTGGATGTTGTTCTTGTGTATTGCTTTCTGGGTGACGATCTAGAAGCACAGCTGCGCTTGTTACACTATCCCTTTCTCTTCTTTCATGCCGCTACGTCTTCACATGAGCTGCTGTGTCACTCGGAGCTTGTACGCGGGATGTTGTTTGTGAAACGAACGCGGTTACTCTAGTAAATAGACTCAACATACAGATGACTGTTATGCTTTCCACGATTTCAAAGGCGATGTCAGGCCGAGCTCATCCATGCAGAGTCTGTCTCTGGTCTGCATCTTAACAAGGCTGATACTATCCCACGTTGCGTGGCTCGTCGAGACATTATACATATGCACGTCTGAACATGACTATCATGACAGTCCGTTTCAGTGTACCTGCTACCATCTGTCTCATCGTCCAGCATTGCAGAGTCAGCTTTCCCAAAATGGTTTGAAGTCCTCTCGAGGCAGGTTGGACGTAGGTACATTTGAGTACCCTCGGATCTTCAGTCTCGTTCCATTCGGGTCTTGCTATCCAAGGAAATCCTTCTGTCAAGCTGTATCATTCATGAGAACGGATTCTGCGATATCCCCAGTAAAAGAACCTCTTATCATTTCGCTACAAGATCATACAACATTCTTGTTGTTACAAAACTCTATTTGACGCCTACTGCACTATTACCAATTCGTGACCAAAGAACTGAATCGCAGCCACTGACCAATCTCTTGCTCAAATAATTCGTCACTTACGCACACAGAACCACCCTCATACAAATGCAATTGCACCGCAGCCAACCGTGAGTCCGTTCGATAGCTTCAACCCAATCGGCAGTCCACGAATGTACTTGTCAGTGTAGGGTTGCCCGCGAATCTCAGCCAGCGCTTGGTCGACGTCCTTGTACATGTCGTATGCGTTCATCTCCTCGATGGTGAGTTTGTTCGTCTCGTCTTCGACCTTGTAGTTTTCTATGTCGGTGTTGCTGGAGAAGCCTATTCTGCGTTAGTCGCGTCTTGTGTTGACATCTGATCCACTCACCAATGCGCTCGTTGATGTTGGAGGCTGCCTTGGCTGCTGAGGCCTGGACTTTTGTCACACGAGGCAGGCGGATCTTCTCGTATACTGCGAGTGCCTCGTTGATGTCACCAGTGAAATAGTCCTTGTTGAACAAGATGCCCAACGCCGCCGCGTCTTCGACGGCCATGCAAGCGCCTTGGCTTTGGTGAGGCATCATCTTGCGTATCGGTTAGTTGAAGCTCTTGGTGAAGGATTGAGAAATCTTACCGGATGACCCGCGTCTCCGATCAACGCAAAATTGTTCTTCACAAGGTACGGGTACGGCTGGTGTACCCACAGACGCCAGGGCTGAATCTCGATACCAATAGCAAGATGGGCCTTGACCTGAGCATCGAGCTCAGGATACGGTGCGAGCAGCTCCTCAACAGGGAGATCAGCACGGCCCCATGTGTGATCGATGTAACTCGCGACAGAAGCAGGGAAGAAACAGTAGTAGGAGAGGAGATCCCCTCCATTACACGGCGAGAGAACAATCTTGTCCCACTTGCCCTCCTGGCCACCCCAGTACTCTAGCGAACTGTTCAGCGAATAGTCGACAAGGCCGTGTTCTCTTGCAGTCTTTGTCAGGACGTTGGCGTGCAGGCAGCTGGATTCGGCAGGTCGCTTTTCTGGGTTCAAGCCGATAATCTTTCGCGTTACTGATCCGATGCCATCGGCTCCTATGATTAGATCGTGCTGACACTTTTTGCCGTTCTTAAACTCGATGGTCCCAGTCTCAAGGTCGATATTGCTGCACTGTGATACTAGTCAGCCGAGTGGAATCGACCAAGGATAGTGAATCAGAAAATGAGCGTACCGGATGATTGACTATAAGTCGAGCTGGAGTTCCGTCACCTTCTTCCTGAAGAGCACACTCCATGAGCATCTTATGCATCTGCTGACGATGGAACATATTATAGACGTGTCCCCAGCGCTCTTCATAGTCGTCAAGATTGTACACACTGACAGGCTCGCCAGTCTTCCAGTCCCGATTGATGAGCTTCTTCAAAACCACCGGATCACCTTTCTGCACATCAACTCCCCATTCATGCAGCCAGCGAGTTCCATTCGCTGCACACGAAACAGAGGCTCCGGCCTCTCCTGCAAAGTCGTTGCGCTCGTAGATGGTAACGTCATGGCCTGCTCGTCGCAGCGCAATCGCAGTTGACATTCCACCAATACCGCCTCCGATTACTGCGACATTGAGGCGTCTCCAACCGCCTTCGATAGAACCCATGTCGTGAGTTATGTTACGGGATGTTGAAAGTGGTTGATGTGTGTGGTGATTGAAATACACAGATAATCCGGATCGAAGTCGACAAGGTCTTTGACTTTGATCACAGTCTGGAAGGCAGGTTATAATATCTTCAGCTTATCGTCACCTTCTCCATAGCTCATGAGGGGAACATTGCCGCAACGCACTCCAAATCTAATGCGTGTCTGCGTGCTATCCGCTTTACCTTCTGCAATACGAGTGACCATCTCTACCTATCGGCGAAATCATAGTGCCAACGACTGAGTTGCGGGAGACTTTCCTGCGGTGGCTCTCGGGTGACAGAAAAAGCCCCGACGCTCAGGCCTCAACGCGCATCTCAGCAACAAGATTGAAAATATCTACCAAGACTGGGTAAGCATGTACTCATGAAGCGATTTTAAATAATCTAAAAATCATCTAAAAATACTGTGTGGTTGTTGAGATAAACCTTGGAAGCGTTGTGAAGTTCGACTCTTAAGTACGGCTTTCATTGTCTCCTGCGGAAGGGATGAGGTCCGTTAGCCGCATGCTGGTCGGATATCGCACCTTGCATCCGCCCCCTTCGCGATAACTGGGACTCGGTCTAATTCGCGAATTCTCCGCGATTGGCGGCATCAGGATGTCATTAATCTAAATGCTGGATTAGTATAGCCAGATATGTACCTCTTGCTCACGCAGCATCCGAGCTTTTTACCGACCAGGTCAGCTTACATCAGTTACTCCGCTCCTGCTTGCGGGATTCAAGAAGCCTTATTCGCACCTTCTTAACACTGAGATCTCCAGTTGCAGTCCTTCTACACAAGACCTTCTTTATCAACAAATACCTGCCTGTCACCGTCTTGCCCAAAATGCTTGGAAAGATCATCCTCGAGGAGGCCTTCGCCTTGCCTCGTCTAGAGGAAAAGACAAAATGGTGGGCAGGCATGTTCAGCCCAGATGTCGAGAAACACACAAAAGAAATCCAAGACTTGACCGACATTCGAC